TATACCCGGAATGTGGCTGGTGCACTTCGGGCAGTAGTTGTTCAAGGAGGCGATGGTTTACCACCATCTCGATCATGAGAAACGTCAGGTGCCCATCCAAGGTGTTGAAGACTTTGTACAGAAGTATGAAAACGCGATTGTTGCCTGGTTTTAAGTCGTCGCAACAGGTCTCTTCCTGCAGGTGTGGTACTCAAACGTACGTCTTGAAAAAGGAGACTCTTAATTGAGTGCTAGCAGCGGTAAATTAAAAGCGCGAGCTTCTTTGTATACATTTTCGTTTTTTGTTGAGCTTGGAACTCCCAGGCAAGTGCGCAGGCCTTGTCTATGTATGCCCTCGAGCATTTGGTACTATGCTGGTGACAGCTTAATGAATGGCAAAGAATATGATATACGGTTGACAATAAGGGCTGAATGCAGACGCACCATGGATCTCGGTGAGTTTCCCCACGACTGTCCTGCCACTCCACAAATTGCGTTTCTTGCTGTCAGTGTAAATTTCTTTACGACCATAGCTTGTGCATGCCAGTTAAGCCTAGATTTCAAAGTGATTCCTAAAAATCTGTGTTGTCGTTCGCGACGTATCGGTGTATTGTAGAGGGTGAGGTCAATTTTGGTATTGCTTCGGTTCTTTTCCCAGGAAAAGTATGAAGACAGTTTTTTCGAGTGAGAATTGTAGGCCAGAATCATTGAGATAATTGCTTGCTACGGTGATGGTTGCTTGAACGGAGTGTTGAAGGCCATGGTGTATGTACCTTGAAACCTAGACGCATATACCATCCGGATACACTGACATATGAATGGGAAGAGTGTACTTAGGAAGGCATGCTGGTAATCTTGCCAAAACAATGTTGAACAGATTGGGCGATAGTACGCTTCCTTGAGGTAAACCTCTAGTTCACCTGCGAGTAATACTGAGAGAGGGACCAAGCCGAACCTTGAGGGTTTCATTGGTGAAGACGCTTTTCAGAAACGTTTGGAACTTCCCTGTTATGCGGGTGTCTGTCAACTTTTGGAGAACTGCCGCTGGTTCAACCTTATCGTATGCTTTAAAAATATTAAAAAAAATACCGCCAATGTCGATTCTTTGGTAAATTGGTTATGTTCAATTGAACTAATCAGGTCTAAGATGCTGTCTTGAGTCGATAGCCCGCAACTGAATCCTGTCATTTCGCGCAGCAACAGATGGCTAGTTTCAAGCCACCATGTTAGTCGAGCATGTATCATCCTTTGCATGAGCTTCATCACACAGGAGGCAAGGGAAATGGGTCGGTAGGGATGGTCCGACGTGTGGTTTTCCTGGTTTGTGTATGGGCACAACCCAAGGTATTCTCTACTCTTCTGGTATGATACTTGATGCCCATACATAATTAAAAAAAAGTTTAGTAAATCTTGTAGACGCTCAGCTGGTAAGTTTTGCAGCATCTGGTTTGTGATTCCGTCTGGTCGTCTGGTCCTGGGGAACTTTTCCCTTAGTTGATTTTAATGCGAACGTTAATTCTACTATGTTGAAGTCCGTGTCCAAGGGAGACGATCTGGTCACAGCTTCATAAACCTTGTCGGTCTGCTCTTAAGTCGAAATAAAAAAAAATCTGCACATTTCTCCACCGCTTTCCTCAGATTTGTTCCGAGGTGAAATGCCATAAAAGTATATAAAAGGCGTAAATAACGTTTGCCCGTAAAAACATCGAGTATTCTCCAAATCTCTGTTCCAGGTTTGTTGGCATCAGCTGTAGTACATGTGTCATTCCAGTGCTTACGTTTAGTTTTCTTGGCATAACGGCTTGTAAGTGCATTGATTCTGTTTAACTTAGTTTTGCCAGTGTTGGAGTATTTTCGCTGGATATGTCGTTGGGCCTGCCTTCGGGCTGCACAAAGATTAAGCAGCGTGAGGTCAGGTTCTGGGTAGTGCTCTGGTAGTCGTATCTTGACAGCAGCCTTCTCTGCACTTGTCAATATAGCTTGTAGTATGGGCGCTGTCGACGTTTCCATGTTTGTTCTAAAAGAGTCCCAGTGGGTGACCTGTCTGGTGCACTGTCGAGCCCCATGAAATCCATGTAGATCTATAAATATTGGATAGCGATTTTTTCTCATTGTGTCAGTGTATCTTTTCCAATCTACATACAGGCTAGGTGAGGGGACAGTGATGTCGATGGCGCTGTAAGTGTCACGTGGTCGAAGAAACGTTGGACTGCCGTCATTTGCCGCAGCAAGACTGCATTCTTCAAAAATTCTTACCAAAGCCCGGCCGCGCGTATCATCTCTGTTTGCTCCCCGGAGGCCATGATGTGCGTTCCAGTCACCGCACATTAAAATCGGATTCTCGCAGCGTTGGCAGATTTTTTTTACACAATCTGAAACTTCGATTCCGCCATTTCCAGCACGGACATACACTGTTACCACACACAAAACTTGATTGCTGAAGTTGACACGAGTTGCTATATTCTCCATATCCTCTGTACATAAGTCAGTGGTGTCAGCCTGAAGGTGAGGGACGGCCTTTCTTATAAATAGGGCTGCCCTTACATTTGAAAAACCGGTCATTGTAGGGTTTCGGTAGCAGAAATGCCCTGATATACTGTGATTTTTTGGCAGACCCGCCTCACTAAATGTAATTATTGGAATTGGCGAACGTTCTAAAAACAATGAAAGTTCCGGATGGCGAAGCTGAAGACTAGCACAGTCCCATTGCCTGGCGAAAGGTAAATGTCGTTGTTTGGCTTTTGAGCTCGGTTGACAATTTGAAGAGTCAGCCATGCAACTGTTGCAGGTTTCGTGTCATCTCTACTATGTCTGGTTGTAGAAGCATATTTCCTTGGAGTATGGTCGTGAAAATACCTGGCGGTAGGATAGCGACAAATTTCGGCAGTACAGAAGAAATGAAACTTATCAGGGCCACCAAACACCATGGATCCTTGCTGAGATCTGGTAGTACTTTGAGGGGTCTGGTATCTGTAACCACTTCGCTATATAAGCTCCTCTCCGTAGCATCTTGACTTGATACTTACGGTCGTATTCATAAACGGGCCTCGACTCGACACTCCACCTCGACTCACTGGAGTGGAGGAAAGCAGCTCGCCTCCACTCGAGGAGCCATCTGGTTTCACAGACGCGCCTCGACGTTTCCTCGGCTGAGGAGCTCCTCGAGAAAACTTCCTCCACTCGAGGAAACTCGAGGAGACGTGAAAGGCGTCTGGTTACGAGGTTGTAGTAAAAAACGAAGTTGAAAACAATATTGTGGTGTGAATTATGAACATATTAGTTCATTTTATTTGAAGGGACACATTTTACTAACATTGAATTGGGAGTCTGCAAGATTTCTGCTTCGCAGCGCGCATGTTTTATGCGTTGCGGCCGGTTTTCGGACAAACAGCCACAAGCGTTCTCCAGTCTGGCAACGGTGGCGGCCGAAGGAAGGGAGGAAAACTCCCGGGACTCATCTACGCCGACGATATGGTGCTGATGGCGGACTCGCTGCAGGGCCTGCAGGGGCTCATGAACGAGTGTGGTGCAATGGGAGAGGCCCTGGGGCTTAGTTTCAGTTCGCACAAATCTGGGCTGATGGCCTTTGGGGCAGCAGAGGAAAACGGGACCGCCAACCTGTCCATTCAAGCCAATCCTGTACCTTGGGTGTACCACTACAAATATCTGGGTGTAAACCTACAGAAGGGACACCACTACCTCCTAGAGCACGAGACGAAGGTCAAGGCGAAGAGCAGGAAGAACAAGGGCATAGCAACGGCCAGGGCCCTCTGGGGATATAACCGATACGAGGTAACCCGAGCGGTCTGGAAGATGGTGGCGGTGCCGGGGCTCACTTTTGGCAACTCAGTGTTGTGCCTGTCATCAGGTACCAGGCAATACCTCGAGGTCCGTCAGACGGAGGTGGGAAGGTCGGCACTGGGAGCAAGCCGAACAGCACCGAACGAAGCCGTCCAAGGAGACATGGGCTAATCCGGTTTTGAGGCCAGGGATGCCCGAGCCAAGCTGGACTTCGAGCGACGCCTCAGCCGGATGAGCGAAGAGCGCTGGGCCAGACAGGTCTTCAAGTATGTACATCTTCGGTCCGTCCCAACCCGGTGGGTGCGACGGACGCGCCAGCTGGCACAGCGATACGAGGTCAATGGCCCACTCCTCTACCCAGCCGCGGAGCAGCCGGAACTGCTGCAGAGCATCCGCACGAGGGTGATCGAGAGCGAGACGCGGCGATGGGCGGAAGCGGCACGTCTGAAACCAGCGCTGGCCCTGTATGCCAGAGAGAAACAGGAGGTGAAGCGAATACCTTTCATGGACAACAGCAAGGGCAGTGCACTGCTTTCGGACGCCCGAGGCGGCATGCTGCGGACCCGCGTGTTCCGCGCGAAGTACATGGACATGGAAGTGAAGTGCGTCATGTGCGCGCAGGGAGCAGACGAGACGGCGGAACACGTCATTCTGGAATGCACGGGTATAAAGCCGGACGTGACGTACGAACCAGACATGGCGGTGGCGCTGGGTTTCCGGGGCGTTGACGAACAGTACGACGCCGATAGCTCGCAGCCAGTGGAGGTGACAAAGAGGAGACTGGAGTGTTGGTGGAAGAGAGCAAAAGAACACAACTACGTTTTTGGCTAGTGTAGCTACTAGCCAGGCTAGATCCAGCGCTGCTGAGATCCCCCGATACAAAGGGGTTAGCCCCAAATCCAATCCAATCAATCCAAGCTATTGCGTCGTAGAGGCAGCTGTAGCTCGCTACCGTCGTTTGTATCTGCGTCTCGCCCGTTCTTCGCCGTCTCACCGCTTATCTGCTTCGCTGTCACCGCCTAGGACGAGTATTTTCACCCTTCCTCTTTCTTCAGAGTCCTACTAGAGTGCCTTGCCCTACAACGATGTCGTTCAACGAAGGTGACAAGGGGCGAGTGGTTCCACGAAGGAGGGGAGCTTCGTCGTTCTACTAACAACTCTCCGAAAGAAGCTAAAATTGACGCGTAGAAGAGTCTGCACCAAGTATAAGCGCCAGCCGCATGTCCGCCCAGGAGTGTTGGGACAACGGTAAACCCAAGTGGAAGAAAACACTCCGAGAAGAATCAGGGCATCCACGCAACAGGTGTGTAAGCAATTTCTATATTCGGGCAGAATAACGCAAAGGGTTCGCAAAATCACATGACAGGACGTGTGTACTAAATACTCTGCAAGGGACTTTGCTGTGGCCACCTCCAGCTAGTCAAGCACGTTACTGTCGAGGCCGTAGGTGGGCAGTGACGGTGAATTCTCGCTATCTTTGGTGATTCTTGTGCCGACATCGACAACTTACTTTGCGTCTTGTGCTATATCCAAGCGAAAATTACGCTGCGAACGTTCTGGTTGCGCCACACTACCTTAGCCTCCGGCCCCTTTCTTGAGATTAGAGAGGCAACCTGGACGTATAAAGAAAAACGCGACGCACGAAACTGACACTAGTGCACGTAGAAGTTAGGCTAAGTAGGAGTTTCGACTGTGTCAATTATACCTAGCACCTCATCTCCTTGTGTGCTAATCTTTTGAAGAAAAAAAAATCTTGTGCTGGTTTAATTGGCTATCAGCTCTCATTTCTTAATTGTAACCTCCTAAGAAATGCCATTATGTGAACATGAGACGTGCTGGAGTCCAGTTGTTGACAGATGTCTTTTTTCAGGTGTCCATGTTAGTGTGCAACCATTGTCATTTATTTGAGAGGTTAACCAGAGCATTGTACTGGCATGATTAAGCTGGCACAAATTTAATATGGGTAGAAGTATAATTATTGATTTGAAAAGTTGTGTGTCTACAATATGACTGTTGTCGATGATCATATTAAGCTACTCCAGTATTTTCCATGCATATCAAGAAACAGCACAGGTATGACATCACTTGTTAAGCATTTATTTCTTGCAGTTAAGTGTCGAACAACAAATTGTACCGCATAAGTTGTAGTATGATTTGTTTTTCTTTCCGCATTGTGCTCTGTACATCTCAACTCATGGATGCTATCACAGGATATTCTTCGGCCTTTCATTGTAGGAGGGTGCACTGGTGTCGCACCCGCTGAACAATGAGCCCGTCCCTCCATCTTGTGGGGGCACTGGTGTCCCACATGGCAATGCGGCTGCCAAGCCCGTACAACAGTGCCAGCGCCCGCGCTGGTTGGCCGGTGCTCTCAATGCTGCCAGCCGCCATTCCCGAAGCCACAGTGAACGAGCATGACGACTGGCATGATGCCTGGTAAAAGTTTTCGATTGCATTTGCTACGTACCCATGATGGTTAGTTGCTACTTGATCACACAGCTTCCAATGTTTATTTATAAAAAAAATCTGTCTATACCCTTCCGTTTATTATTTCGATTTTGGCATATTGTCTTCTACGAACGCTAGAAACTGTGACAATGAGCCACATTTTCACGAATGCGACTTGTTAGGGGTGCCACGTAGGAACACAGTAAATTCCTTGGGTCTGGATAATGACATGTTTAATGACGAATACACCACACGTGTGCCCGGGGACCCAGAAGGTCCGAGATAACAGCGCTGTTTCTTTTGACGGTATCACCATTTGGAGTCTGCCGTGCCGCTACTGACAGTATCACGGAAAGGAAAGGGTCAGAACAAGAAAGGAACTCTTTCATGTTTACCAACAGTTGGCATTTAACATTTCTGTAATGAGGTCGTTGCGAGTTTCTACCAGTTCTCCGGTGTCTTCACCGTGCCTGTAACACTCGGCGTCAATGTGTTGTGCTTGCCTAGATTCACCTGCCTCACCGCTTCTGGACTGGGGTGGCATCATGGAGGTTGTGGTTGCTGCGCCACCAACCAAGCCCCCGCCTCCTCTACCCCCTCAGCCGCCACGTGAGGTTGTCCGAGTGAAGACAACTAAAGGCCGCACCAACTGGAGGAGCTGCACCCGCTGCAGGTGGAGCTACGTCAGTGTCAGGTTGCCTATTAACAGACGCAGGCCCAGGTTTTCCATCAGCAGCAGCGTAACAAGCTGGTTCGAGCTTGAGCTGCTTCAGCTCAACAAACTAATCATACTGCAACAACGAATAAATCAGCCTACTGTTGTGGCTGGGCCCCGAGAACAAGCAGCTGCTTGTTCTCGGGGCCCAGCCACAACAGTAGGCTGATTTATTCGATTTGTTTCATCTTCCTCTTTAGTAATTACAATGTTTTACATTCTCTTTTGTGTTTAAGAATGCTTTATTAAAGTCTGTAACTTGCTTCATTTTATCCCTGACCTGAAGTTGTTACAAGTATTGACCGTATCTTGTTCTGTAAAGCCTAGCATTTTTTTTAACTTGTTTCTCGATTGGCTATTTGTAGTGAACATTTTATGCAAAAGAGCAGTTACGTCAGCTTTAAACTTATTCTTTTAAAACTTAAAAAGTAACCGAGTATTTTTTTCTTACTAATTACATTGTTTGTATGTTTAGACAATGGGAAGTTAGTCAGCCCCAGTGAGCAACTTATCTCCACTGTAGACGAGATATTCAGCCACTGTCGTACCACAGCTATCCTGGGGTCTTTTAATTTAAATCACAGTAGTGATACACAACCGCATGCTGTTACAATGTTCATCCACATCGATACAGGCAGAGGCAAAGATTGAACTCAAGATTCCTATGTTCAGCTGTGCGAGCTTTCACTCCACGTGCTCCAAGCTGTGATCCGTTAATGCAGTCGACCACCGATCCCCTTGATGGAAATTAGAAATCTGTTTGAATTTACAGCCAGGTGTTTCCTAAACATTGCCACTGTTATTTATGTAATGTCTCTTTTATTATTGTGTAGCCCATGTGCAGCCTCGCTCATTAAATGCTGTTGTCACAGTGTTTTGCCATAGTTTTCATTGAGTTAAGACGTCTCATTTCCTGTCCAGGGGTTTGTGCCTCGCAATCCTCTATGAACTTGCACCGCCTACCAGAGTAATGTCGACACCACATTGACGAGGCTTGCCCACTGCCTTTTCATTGCGGAGGTGGCGCCGTGTCACAGAGGTTTTGGTTGCTTGTCCAAAGATCCCCAGGTGGTCAAAATTAATCCTCAGTTCTCTGCTGGGGCGTGCCAGATGCCCGTCGTTGGTTTGGCACGTAAAACCCCCAAACTTGACTTCGCTGCCTTTTCACTGCACACTACTACAGTGCCGACGTAGCAATTGGGCCCAAGTTTGCAGCTGACCACACAGTGACACTGTAATTGAGCAGCGGTTCCAGCTAAACCCTGGTACGGTGCTCACCTCATTCATGCTCGCATTCAGTGATACGTAGTGTGATGCCATCAGTTTGAGTGCATGGGCCTTGCATGCTTGTGTAAGTAACTGTTATGTAGGACACCCTTGACTGCCTAACATCTGAAGGTGTCCTCACAAGGAATTGCTGCGCTATTGTAATATTTATTCTAACCGAAAGCTCTTCATGTGGGGTCACAGCTGCAAGACATCATTCAGACATTCTCATGTATAAGTTTATTTCGAAGAATTGTGGACTGAACAGCTCGCTGAAAAGTCTCGAGTCTGAACATGGCAAAATTTTGGGTTATTTTAATGTAATTACCTGAAGCTTCTCACTTTCTTTGTATCCTGCTACCCCCCTGCTTTGTGTGATGACAAATATTGAATTGTTCTCGAGCAAAATGTTTCCACAACAAAGAGGGCAAGTTGGTCTTGCTTTTTTTGGAAGATTGATAAAACAGCAACCACCAGCATAGTTTCAAACACTGTTGTCCAGCGGGAACCTGAGTAGAACAAAGACATTGCAACAATTTGTGGTGACCAACTAGCTGAGAAACCGGCGGATTCGTTTCGGTTCAAATAAGAAAGTGTGTGGCCATAGTATAAGGTTGATTTGTTTCTGGCCCGATTGCATTTTGAGCTTTAACATGGCCAGTGACTTGATTCTTCGGTGACCTAAGCTAAAAAGGACATGCTCTGCATTCAGTTCCTACTGGAAACACCACACAACGAGTTGAGCCCGCAGCCATGCCCCGTTGAATGTGTCCACGGGGTCTGGAGTCGATGGGAGATGAGACTGCCTTCAGCTTCGTCAGTGGGGGGTGGGACTGTTGGAGCGGGAAGTGGCTCGTTCTGCAGGTGGGCCAAGTTTTGCAGTGCAAGTCCACCAGTGATCATCACAGCTGACCATTCAGGCTTGTGCTGCTAGCACATGTCGAGGCACGGAAACTGCCTAGGCCCGCTGCACTGAGTTCCTAGTCCAGAAGTGGGCCTTTTGGTACCTACACAAGACAAAAATGAAGAACAATACAGCACAATTATTTTTGAATAGAAAATGTGGGACTAGTTTGTGGAGTAGTGTATGTCCGATTAATGCTCAGACTACTGTTTTCGATAGAAAGTGCTGTGTATGATAACACTTTTCTTCAGATGTACACACACAGCTTTTTGTCGTGAATGGATAATGTCCCTTCGCGCACATCTTGAGCTTCAGAAAGTCTCTTTTAGACAGCTGCAGGCATCAGTCCGGTCCGGGTGGTATGCTGTACGATATGGACTTTGGTACTAGTTGTATTTTCAGACAACTCTGCTGCTTGCCGAAGGATGTCAACCTGCGAATGGTGTGGTCTCGGCGTATGTTGCCTACATTATTGTATATTTCTGTGGACTCGTAAGCCGCGGTCTGATTTCAGCAACAAATGCCAAGAACCAACAAACAACCAACCTCAATGAACAACAAATGTTATTGAGCAGTGGGTGTTCGCCGTGCAGTTTGGTTTACACGACACAAGCACATGCAGACACAAAAACTGTTTACATATGGGACTTGTAGTTACCAATTGCACAGACAACTTAGTGAATGCCACCAAATGAATGCTTCCATGTGTATGTAAAAAGTAAACATTCGATCATCATTTTCAATTTTAATTTTATTTTAAGTTTTGATGTCTGAGAATCTGACGATCAAAAAGGTTGATCTGGGATGAGACTGTGTTGCAACACACATCGTCTCATCCCACATTCACTGGAAATGTTCTTTGGTCATGATCATTCTTGCAAGAAGGGTGCGCTCGGGCCGCTACTATCATTGTGCTCGGTAACCCGATCGGGAGTTCGTTTTATTTTAACGTATTTCTGTGCTCTCACAAGAGTCTGTAACCGGTTAATGACTTTTTTTTTCTTCATAAGAACGGGAGTACGTTCACGCTCGGTCGTGCAAACTGTCGCCGGATACAGATTTGTTTTAAAGTTTTGATTGATATCGTACGTCAGAGTTTAGACCTACGATATCGCATCTCAGCGTACAGTTTGATTTATTAAGTTTGGCACTCGTAACGCAAAAAACAGGGGTGAACTTACCTGCACGTTGATGGAGAAGTATCCATTTCTGTTTCGAGAACACTTCCACATCGGGACCGCCGGGTCCTCTTATCAATGCACCCAGTCGCCCCTGGAAACTTCATTTCGCAGCAGCCCCGCACGAACGCATTAAAGTTCGCTGCGCCCTGCAGGAGCTTCACCGAGCGGGTGAAAATGGTCCGTGCGAGGAGCCGCGAAGCTCGCTCCGCGATCCGGCACACAGTCGGCTGCGGCATGTTCACATGGTTCCCGTAACAACTTGGAACGTCCTGGTACCATAAAAGCTCAAAGCAACGAGGAGCTGCAGCATCGTTGAGGGCGGCAGGCCCTGAGTACTCGCGCTCCTGGCAGAGACAGCAGAGTGCTCGCCGGTCGCCTTCGTGAAACGGCACTGCACAGGAAATCCGCGGTCACTGAAGTGTTCCAGCGGGTTCAGGCGTTCTCTGAAACTTCGTCTCGTCACACGTCTCGATTCGCCGTCGCCTGCGTCGTCGTAGAGGATCTCTTCTGCGCTTAAAACGAGGTGCACGAACTCCGCGAACGACTCGCCGGCCGCCATGACACCCCAAACTCAAGTCGAGGAGCGGCTCGAGGAAGCGACAGAGCTACCTTGAGATTCTCGAGGAAAGAGTCGAGTATTTCCTCGAGTCGAGGAGCGTTTGGAGTGGAGGCCGGTTTATGAAGCGCAAAACCGGCCTCGAGTGGAGTTTCGAGTCGAGTTTGAGTTGAGTTCGAGTCGAGGCCCGTTTATGAATTCGGCTGTTAGGCAGCGGGTGCATTTGCTGTTTTAGGGAAGATGTTACCATGTCGTTGGTCTCTAAAGAAGCTTCCTTCTGCCGTCCAGTGGTTGAGGTTGGGCTTGCTTTCTGTTTTTTCGCCTTGTACTTTGGATATTGGTAGCTAGGTAGGTTTTGTAACACCATGGTGCCTGAAATGCCTCTCCGACTTGTGTTTACCTCGTCAAAAAAAACAGAAACGAAAAACAAAGTGGTCCCTAGATATCCGCTTGATGACGTCGTGCTGCCGTCGGTCGCGACCCTGGCGATGTCCCAGCAACGGTGATGTATGTGGCTGACGCGCTGTTCTGCTACAGCTCACTCTCCGCTGTGACAGTCCACCGTGTAGGAAGCAACACGCATCAGCCAGCATGGAGATTCGAACGAATGATCTTTATGTCTTTATGTAGTACCCAGCGAGAGATGGCGCCACCTATTTCTCTGGAATGCCACGGTCTGAACACGAGCGCGGAGCGCGCGACATAAAGATCATTCGTTCGAATTTCCATGCTGGCTGATGCGTGTTGCTTCCTACATGGTGGCAGCGATTTAAGCCCAATCAGGTTGTATAGGTTCAAGGAAACGAAGCAACGCTGGACAGTAGGCCTGGAGAAAGTGGCGACCGCGAAGAACGCTGAAGTGAGCGAACAGCGACCACCATGACGAGCCTGCTGCCGCCGCCGAAACCGCTAGACCTGGCAAGCGAACCCTGGAACGCATGGAAGAGGTGGCTTATG